CCCCAAAACCCCAAAACCCCAAAACCCCAATAATTGATCTTTGAGTGGAAACTATAATATTAATTTATCTGAAATGGATTCGAAAGATGATAAAGATCTAACTAAAGAAGTCTTATCTTTGATGAAGAACAACGGAATCAGTCAGACTCTACTTGACGGATTTGAGAGAGATCCTGGGTTTCCTAAGTTTTGTACAGAATTGACTAAGCAGCGATGGACATAAAATCTAAGATTCCTGACCAAAACCTGATCTATAAATTGGTAGGTAAGGTCCAGAGCTATGAAAGAAAGATTTGAAAGATGATTGCTCCTTATAGAAGAACTATAGATTTCGATTTTACCAAGAAAGAGCAGAAACTTGATCTCAGAATTTTGGCTATTTCATCCCAGATATTAAGAATTCTTTATTCAAACTTTAAGCCAGATTCTTCAAATTCTTGGAACCTTGAGAAGCAAGGTGATTATCAATGCTTGAGAGTTTATTCAAAATTTAAAATGCCAAAATTTACAGAAGTAAAAATATTTACTTACAAAAAGAGACAGAAAATATTGAATTCATTTATGGAAGAGTCACTTCCAAATGAAATTCAAGAGCTTAAGTTCATTCGCTCAAAGGGTGACATCCATAATAGAAACTTGGAGAAAATAGGGAAATACTTCAAAGGCTTAAGGCTAGTACTTCCTCGAGTTATTTCGAATGTGTCTATTAGCAGATTTGACATTTCTAAAAAACAGCTCCAGTCTATCTTCTATCTGAGCAAAGGAGCAAAAGGACTCACATTTAACTGGTGAAAATTAGATTTGATCACTGTTCCAAATTTAGGCAAATCAGCCAAACAATGCAGGATCGAACAGCTTATAATTTATGGCTGAGGTTTAGAATTTTTATGCAACTGGAATGAGAATTCCAGCCATTTTAGTAACTTGGTTTGAGGTCTGTCTCAAACTGAATGGGCTCATTCAAGCTTGAAAAAGATCTTTCTGAACAATAATAACTTGCATCAACAAGAAATTGTTGATACTCTTAAAGAGTATCAGCTTAACCATCTCAAATTTAATTAGTCATTTAATCTTCAACACATTACCAATATTTTGGGGTTTTGGGGTTTTGGGGTTTTGGGGTTTTGGGG